GTTATTTGAAACTTATTAATAATGTGTTGTAACTTTTAAAAGTATAGCAATCGTAAAGGATAACTTAGCATAAAGAACTCATTTCAGTTTTTCTTCATAAAGAAGAAATGCTAAAAAAATAGCAAGTGTTGTATTTATGAATAAAACCCCTAAGAGCTGAATAGCTTTCCTGTATCATATGTGCTCATAACTCTAAGTAAAGTTGTTTTACAGAAAATCACCTTTCTAAGTAAATACCTTTCTAAATACTTTTCTAGTATTTTTACTGTTTAATTCTTTCATACTCTGTAGTGTGAAAGTGATGAGATCTGCTGATGGCTCATATAAGATATACTGCAATTGTAATTCTGTACTTTCCGGTCTAATATATTTTATTTATATATTTATAAATTTACTGTAATTAATACATACCTCTGATTCCTTTTTATGACTTTGTTTGTCACCTCTTAATGCAAATGCTTGTGCGTATTCTATGGTGCATTCTCCTAATAGCTGGATATCTGCATTTATTCTCCAAGTGGGCTAATGCATCTTTCGTCATGTTATTTAAAAAGGAAAAAGCTAAAACTTTTCTTTCCAAGTGGAGTTTTATTACCAGACCATTATTGGAGCTCTAGATTATATTCAAGTATGTACTGAAAGTGAAGGTTTTATCCATCTCACCTTAATTTATTATTCAAAAGTGTGAATGACACTTGAAATGCCTAAGTCAGTGAAGAGTTCTCAATTAGTAAACAAAATCTTTAGGACTTCCAGTACTATTCCCTGGCCATATGTGAAGAGTTTCTCTGTTCTCAGTTCTGTGAGCAGACACATGAAGAAAAGAAAAAAAAAAAGGCCATAATTTAAAGATTTCACAGTAGCAGTTTCAATGTCATAACATTTGTGTAAATGCCCATAGAGTACTCTCAGAAAGCAGTTTCTTTTGATTGTGGAACTGTTTTCTGAGTAGACTACAGTAACTCTGTTGTGTACATTGGGATGCTGATGGACTGGAGACATTTGATGTTATACCAACACATTAATTTATGCTCTATAAAAGAACAAGTTGCTCTGGGAATAAAAAACATGCCGATTATGCATTTAATGCAATGTAGGAAGCTAACACTCTCCAAATAACCTTTTTGCTAGTTCACATTGCTATTTTATGGGAACTGTAGGATTGAAGAGTAAGGAAGTGTAATATTTCCTATAAGTTAAAATAATTACTTTAGAGACTTTGATTTTTCTCCCCTTAGCATGCTGTTTATTCTGACACCTCTTTCATAATATATGTCAATGATCTTATTTCTTTTTAATGAAAGATCTGTTATAGGTCAGAGAATACGAATTGTTTCTAACTTAGACTCTTAACCCAAAAGGAGATTTTTGGAGATGGCATGATTTCTTATACCATAGCAGAAGTGCAAATGAGGAAACAGTCTGGCTTAGTGTTAAGTAATTTCATGTAATGCTTTGACATTTTGCCTTTTTCAGAAGAAATGCTTTGTGATATGCTGATAATGTTCATACTTAACTTTACCTTAAGTTTTCAGTAATTGTAATCACAGAGGTTACCAGAAGTTGTGAAGGGTCGTTTCTGCTTAGTCACAGAGCCCTTAGTTATATGAAAGTTGAGAACTCAAGATTTTCTTAAGATATTTCATTGGATATTGATCGCTAAATAGGCTAGGTACTGGAATTGGGACTGTCTGATTTCTTATGTCACAGAATCAAGTGTTTTAGGTGGTGGAAGGAGTTGGATGTTCTAAATATTCTTGAGGCAATGGGTGAAATGAACATGCTGGGAAGATGGGCTCTTGTGGGTTGCTCACTGTAACCTGGTAACAGTAACTGGACAAGTGAGCTTGAAAGTTTTAGGGTTGTGCAGAAGATGTGATTTTGTGTGGCAAATCCAGTTTTATGGGCTAGAGAATCAGAAGCTCTAAAGGCAATGCCTTTCATTATTGTTATCTTATTAATAAAAATGGGCAAAAGATTGTCCTGCAAAAGAACTTCTTACCTGAAGTCTGGAAACAAATGCAGCTTCTTGGCTTCCTTTAGTCTAAGCTATTAGAATTCAATATATATATAGAATATGAAATGTTTATAACATGTCTGTCTAGTCACATAGTGGTTGTTTTATTTATAAGGAAACACTAAGCAACAAAACAAAAATAACACTCTTAGTAGTAATATCCAATGTATGAGAACTCTGAGATATTCTGTTCTTGCTCAACTATTTGAAATACTAGGTGTGTAACCCTTGAAGTCAACAAAGCAAAAGGATTTTGGAGCTTGAAGACTGACAGCTCCTTATTCCTAGCAGCTTCTCTACCATGCAGTAATAGTTTATTGAATGCATTTCATGCATTTTATTGATAGATCTTTCCATATACTATTTCTCCATACTTGCAGGAAAGAGCAAATTTGCATGTCTTATTTTGATGCTGACTCCACCATATAGTTAACAACAGGATCGTTTGCAGTTTAACAAAAAAACCCACCCATCACAGCCGCCCCAAAAACCAAAACCACCAAACTTGAAGGCTGTGGAGAAAGGGAGACAATGTCGAGAGGAAAAAGAAAACATCTTTTCTGACAAATGGAGAAGGCTTGCGTCAAAAACTGCAAAGATGCATTTCATTAACTAGGAAAGGGCAGTGCAGGTTTCATGGACTTTCGGTCACCCTTGTGCATTTTGGCACAGATTTTGCTAGTATAGTGAAAGTCTCAGGAAAAATTTAAAAAATAAAAGTGTTTCTCATGCCTTTCCAATTAAATAGAAACTTCTGCAAATGGTGATTAATGTCTTGCCAACTCTTGTTCTGTTTTTTCCTTGTTGAGATTATTAGGAGAGGTCATTGTTCTGTCAACAGAATTGCATTCTGATTTTAATAAGAATGAAGCTTACCTTTCAAAACTTGCCAGGGTCTTGCCTGTATCATGTGTGTGTTTTTGTTTTGTTTGTTAAGCAGTTAAGGCTTAACTGGATTTATTCAGGCTGAGCTCCCCTGGAAATACTGCCAACTTTTATGGTGCTTGCAGGGAGAGCAAGGTGATCTGCAAGTTGTGTTAATGAGAGTTCTGGTTGGCAGAAGCCAAATGCTCCCCCAGTACATGGACAAAATACAAGGCAGCTTCAGTTACAGTTCTTGTGTTTCGAGTGCTTGGGATCATCAGTCTTAAGGCTTTTCTCAAGTGCTCTTGTCTATAATGAAGAAGGGGTTAGAACAGGGGCAGGAGGTGTTCTTGGGTTCCACTCAACTGAGCAGGCTAAAACTTTTTTGAAAGTTAATTGATTTCCAGTCTGAGTAAAAGTTAGTTCTGAACTGGAGGTCATGAGTTCACGGAGGCAAAGACCATTTCGCTGCCATGGTGAATTTTGCTGCTGTGGCAGCTCTGAACTGTTACAATTGCCTCAGCTGCCTGATTGTGGCTGGTGCAGAAAAGTGTCTGAAGCCTTCTTGATTGCACAAACACACAAATAAAATCCAGAATCCCAATTAGGATTAAACTTTGTTGATAACTAGTGAGGCCTGAGTAGAACATCTTCCTGAATTCTGTAACTCCTGACAAAAATCTTCCCACTGGTTTTTCAGAGCTGTATTGTGGAGGTGGATGATTTCCTGTCTGCCACCTTCTCCCTCCTCCCCCTTCTCTTCCCTGGCTTTGAACTTGCTCCTCTCCTCTCTGGACTTCTTCACAGCACTTCTTCCACAGCAGAAGTTAAGGTTTAATTTTTCTGGCAAATCACTTAAATCCTAAATCAGCATTTAGGGACTGTTTGACTGTTTGTGATGCTTCTCAATCCCAGTGACTCATGTTTGCAACCTGTGTTTCTGACGTATCATCATCTGCAAGTATTTATAGATTGCTCTGTTTTCTTCTCTCTCATGACATAATAATGAGCAACCAGATATTGATTTATCTATGTATTTGTGTATTGAATAAATTCTACCCTCGTATGTAATTTAGAAAAAATGTACTTAGATACCAAGTGGTGGTGCACTTCAGCTGTCTCTTTACAAGGAAGAGGTGAGAGAACTGGATGCTAAGCAAACCAAAATTCACTTGGTTAGCAGGTGTGCTTCCCAGAGGCAGAGTGTGCCAGACTGAAATCCAGTCGTGTAGCTGGTAGACTAATGCTATAATCAATCATATATCAGGACTGCAGATTTGGGAAGAAGCTTTCAGTGGGGGATTTGTACTTTAAAATATTTCCCCTCAAACCTGAATCTGGTTTGGAGGCAAGGTAGGCCGGAGGGTGACATTTGTCAAACACATGGGATTTGAATGATGGCGGAAGTTTGGAGACAAGTGTGACTTGATATTTGCTGATAAAAAAAAAGAAAAGTTCGAAGCCAAATAGTTTGTACACATCTTTAATATATTTCAGTGATTTACGTTCCATACCTAACTCTCTGTTCTTAGGTCAGTGCGCAACTTTTAGTACCAGTGTTGGAGTAAGTGAAGGAAGGAGGAAACACCCCAATCTTCTCCCCACCTCTTCCCACACATTCCCCCCCCAATGATGATTTAGAGGCAATCCCTCACCAGCTCCCCATGCTAACCTGAAACTGTAGCTGTCTGCACTGGCTTTCCCAAAACTGCTACAGATGGGATTTTATATAATGGTAGTGAAAAGTGTAACTTTCCCTTAGTGCTATATTACATGCCTTGGTTCTTCCCTCACTGGATGTTTGCTCCCTTTATGTTTCTGTACATGCTTTGTGTAAACCCTTTTAAAAACTATACCATGTGCTGTGGTAAGCTTTGAATGCTCTTGGATGGTTGGGGAAACAAGACCTTGGTGAAATTCTGAAAATATTTTTTCTCCAACAACTCCTACAATATTTTAAATCTGAAGTAAAAATTCGAAGGGCGCTGTTTGTGTTCATCAAAGTGATGATACTTCTGGCAGTGTTTTGGGCTTATTTTTTTTCCATGGGGGTTTTTGCATAAAATTTGATTATTAGACTGAGCAAGCATGATGACATATGAAATCTTGGTTTTGATAGATTTCCAGAAGAAACAGCCAGACGATGACTCTACTCCCGGCACAAGCAACAGCCAGTCAGATTTGTTCTCTGGGGAAACGAACAGTGACAACAGCAATACCTCTCTAACCACGCAGGCCGCTAACTCCAACCAGCAGCTTTTGACAGAACTGAATGTAACTTCACCGAGCAAAGAGGAATGTAAGTGCAGAGTCCTAAGTGAAAGCAAAGGAGGCATAAACATTTTGCTTTGTTCTCAGGTTTATATTTCACTGACTCCCTCTGGGAGTTAATGGCCTTTTGGGGTGAAGGGAAGGGTTAGAATCTATTCACAAAACAGACATTGATGGCTTTAACAGAAGAACAAATAGGAGTTTTTAACTAACTTTGCATTTGATATATTGTATTTCATGTATATGTAAGCTATTTGATGTGTGGGAAAGAATTTAATTATGAGAAAATCCTCACATTAGTGGTAAAATCATATGTATAGTCTAGCATCAGCACCAGTATCTTGCGAAATTTGACTTTTAAACATGTTGGTTTTTAATTACTGTAGTTGCACATAACACTGACTATAATGCGTGTTTGTCTAGACTGCTACTTGTGTATGACTTGTTTCATGTGGTAATTTATCTATTCTTTCATGACCTATCTTTTGTCCTTACTGAACTGTCAGGCAAAAATTCTCCCTGAAGGTAAGTTTAGAATGCTTAGCAAACACAGTGAGATAAAATTGACTTTTAAATTTTTCTAAACCTCTGTATGAAGTTCATCTTACATCTAATTTATTGAGTTTTAAAATCTGCATTTTACAACCTAAGCTCCAATGTGTAATTTGTAGCTTCATTTTTCTCCAGTTGTATATTTATTTTAGAAGGTGCTCTGTGGAGAGAAGCCCCCTTAAGCTGAGATTACTTTAGATAGTGGCTAGTGAATAGATCTACACATTGCAAGAAAATGCTTGTTTTTCAGTAGGAAATTTGCAGCCTGCTCTGGCTCTTGAACATTCAGGCTACTGCTGGAAATAACAATGTCGACAGAGCACTAGGACTAAAATGTCTTGCTTTTACTTGTATTAACTATTTCCATGGTATGGTTTTGCTGAGTTGTCCAAGTATTTATTTTGGACAAAGCATAAAATGTTATTTTGGGATTGTGGTGGTTTATTAGACTAACTAAAGTAAAACTTTTAAACTCTGATGTTGTTATCTAACTGTATTTGAGAATATTGTCAGAAATACAAGTGTTAAATATAAATAGTCTGTGGTGAATTCTTGTCATAAGACTAAACTTGCCACGTAACTCTTGTCTCTGCTTCATGTACACAGCTGCTGCTGACCACCCTTCCATCTCTTCCTTCTGTTCAGTGCTTCTTCAGGGGAAACCTTTAGCCTGCTGTAAAAACAAGGCCTTAAAACAAGTTTCCTGGGGAATTCAGAAAAACACATTATGCTTCAGCGACACATTTGGGCCTTCATATGCAGGGGACTTCAGCACCCTGCTCACTTATTAACCAGTGTCACAGGGTGCTTCTGTAGAGCTTACTGGGTCAGCTTTTCTGAAAATTTGTTCAGGTAGAAATGAAATTGTGTTACAACCAAGTGTTTCTGTTGTGACTGAGAAAGATTGGTAAGTGGGAAGGCGATTACAGGAATGAGGAAGAAATTAAATAGTGTCCTTCATCCTGAATTGATGTGAGCTTGTGACCATACACTGAACGTGATGGATATTAGGCAGCACAGCCTGCAGAGGATTTGAAAATATTACCTATTAAAAAAACTCTCTTTATGACTTCCTGCTGGGATGTTTTAAAGTGAAATACAGTGGAGAGATTTATTTACAGCTCTGCCTTCTCTTACATCCCCACTACCTCTTTAATGAAGCTTAATATCATTTATCAGAAATAATTACATACAGATGGAGATTTTCTGATGGATAATGACCTCATTGTGCAAGGTTCTTTTCTTTAATGAAGAATGCCCAGACTTAAATGTCTTTTTGATTTTAGTTTGAGGGTGTCTTTTCCTGTGCAATATTTATTTATTTTGCAGCATATTCTGTAAAATATGCACTGCTCTTAGTCCAGCTGTGTTCTTCAAAGACTGATACTTTTTACTGCCATGTGATGATGTACAACTGTGTTCTGTTTTGAATAGAATTGTGGTAGTTCACCAGAAATCAATTGTATGGGATCACTGTGGTAATCCCTATCCAAATGTGGGAAAATTGATCTAATCAAGAAGAATCGTCATGTTTTGTTCCACTCGCCTCTCTTTCCTTTCAAGATTTTGAGGAGAGTCTTGCATCAAGGCATTTGCCACAGTACTTGAGTCCACAGGGTAAAGAGAGAGGGGACAAAATTACAGCAAGTCATGTAGGCAATTAAAGTCATTCATGTTACAGCAACTGTAGAAAACTGTAGAAATCACATGTGGTAAGATTCATACTCTGTATCAGAAAAAGTGGAAAGGTTTTTGTTTTTAAATAGCTGTTTCCTTTTATATCACAGAATGAATTATATATGAGAAAAGTTCCTTGAACTATATTTTGCAGGAGTTCAGTTTGACATTGTGCAAGTATTTGTGTGGTTTTTGTTATTATTTTTATTTTATGTAGGAGTTGCATTTGCATTCCTGAGTGTTTTAAATATACAACCAGGTTGTAGTGACTTTCCATCTCCCACCAGCCTCAGTTCTGAAGTTACCTACCACAATGGCTGCTGTGCCTTCTAATATCTCTCCCCCTTATAGGTGAAAGGTAGTTCTTAATATTATATTTACAGTCAATGAAAATGTGTTAAGAATTTCTACCCAGTAGCTCTCAATAATATTTACGGTCAACAAAAATGTGTTAAAAATTTATACCCAGAGACAGTGACACAACTTCAGTAATAATTTTCCCCTCCTTCACATGTGTTTGATCTTTTATGAAATATTACTAATCGTTTTGTTTTTTTTTAAATGCTGTTGAAATTGGTGAGGGGGAATGCTATGGAATTTTTTTTCCCCCCCTCCACGTATATTTCTTGAGTTGTATGTTTCTATCCAAAACCTTCAGATCTATCAGTCGCAGTAAATTTTCTAAAATAAACTTGCAGACAAAGAGTGATATTGATATAGCTCCAGTTAGTCCAGAGCTGCATGAATTTTAGTGATGCATTTCTTAACTGGTAGTTAAATCAGTCTAATTTTTGTTCTGCTGCAGCTTTTTATGCAGGTAAGTTTCATTTGTTCTCATTTTTCCTTCCATCTCCTCCTTTCATTTTGGAGCTCCTAATGGTAGTTATTTCAGCATCAGTCACTATATCAGCCAGTTACTCTGTCAAAGATTTCCTTTTCATATTGGATGGGCAAGATTTTTTATTATTTTTAGCAGAGAGGAAAAAATGGATTTGACAATGGCTCTCACTTCTCTATGTCCTTACCTTCAGCCACCAACGTTCTTTAAAAAAAATAAAAAGCAGCTTATTAAGCAAGGTTCTATGTATTTTGGTAGAGAAAAGGTCACACTGCACATGGAATAATTTTGCTTAGTTTCAGGCCTTCAATGCTTTCTTTGGGGCTGTCACGTCATTTTTCTGTCACTGTATGAGCAGAGCTAAAGCTGGTTCTGTGCAGGTTTGAAATTAACTGTGTTGTTATGTGACAGGAGAAATGTCAATGTGAAGAACACTGACTCTGGCAGCTTGATCAGATTTGGTATTTCAGTAGTTTTTAGCTTCAGCTGACAGGATTTTATTTTAATTATGTGCTTAACTTTTCTTGGCCTTCTTGAATAGCAAGAACCACAATTGGAAAAGGACAAAAGGAATATCTGCTGTTACTAAAACAGTTAAACACTCTTCATTCCTGTGTTGAAGAATTTATAAGAAGATAAACAAAGATCTGAGCTACTGCTGTGATTGTCAGAAAATACACTGGAGATTTCAGCCCAGAAAGATGGTGATGATCACTGACCACCTCTCTGTGTGCTGAATTTTAGATTCCCAAATACAAAGGTATTTCATAACTCGATGGCTCTATATTTTGTCTAGTTTCTATTTTTCTAGTTTGTATACCCTTCAAAACCTTGCACATCAAAACTAAAACACCTTTGTCTCGAATATTTAAATTTGCAGGATAAGGTTGGAAAAATGCTTTATAACATCATTTATTTTATTAAGTATTTGTGTGCAGTGGAAGCACTGAAATACCCCCAGTTAGGGAGTAATTTTAGTGAAGTTAATGTACATTAAGTGTACTAGTCCTGAGACAAAGATGCAGTAGATTTGTATAAAAGATATGTGGCAGAAAGGTGAGAGATTGTTTTTCCTACTGCACCTATTGGATGTTTATACTCTGAATTTTATTGCTTGTTGAAGCATGACTGTGTAAAAAGCCACATAGGTTATAGCACTCAAAAAGTAATGGTATTTTTTCTTTTTGGAATAAAATAAAAATACGTCTTTTTTTCAACATAACTTTGTGAAAAATGGATAAACAAGTGAATTCTTTCTTTGCTTCTTTCTTGCTGAACAGCCTTTTCTCTGACACTGCAAAAGGTTTCTACCAATTTATAACAACTTCATGGTTTTTGTATTTTGCCTGGGTTTATGAGTAGAGTACTAGATGCCAACTTTTCTATGTATGCTCTAAAAATACTTCATATTTGGAGTTATTATGATGACATCCTTAACTTCAATTTGTGCTTTTTAAGGAGAGTGATTTTTAAAATGACAGTTGTTCTTGGATGTTATTCATTGAATACGTTTGTAAATGCCTTTGAGAATTCAGCTGCTTATTGCAGTAGGAGTCAGTTTTGTACATCCTGTCTTCATTAATTTTGGGGTTTTTTTCAGGTTTTTTTTCTGGGGAGTGGGGGCTGTGTTTTTGTTTTGTTTTGGGTTTGGTTTGATTTTTTCCTAATTCAGTCAGTGGGGAGCTTTGTTTTCTGGCTTGTCTCTGACTGAAAGTTACATGCATACCCAATTCTGTAAGTAGTAAATATGTAAACAGACCAAGCTATCTGCCTGGTTTTTGTCTTGCTTGTCACAAATGATTCTAGAAAGTAATTTGCTTTGTTGCTAACCTGATTTATTCTCATACCAATTTCTATGTTTTTCTCTGATTCAAAAGAATGCAGTAACTGGTAAAATGTACTGGGCTACTGTAAAGCCTATGTGACCCATGTGACCCAGTATTAAATTAAACTTATACCCA